ACATGTACCAAGGTGTCACTTCCACGCGAGGTGGTGCATGGACATCAGCCGTACAATGATGCACACCAGTACGATAGCAAACACGTTGATCACGGAAACCAGATATAACTTTCTTAGCAGCCATTTTGAAACGACCTCCAGGTGTAAGTTTCTTTTTTGGTCTCACTGGGAATGGAGGATGTGCTTTTGAATGTTGCATGTTATCCCACAATGCAGAAAGAACATTTTTCTTTATTTCTCTTTCACTGCTTAAAGTCCTCTGCAGTGGTTGCTTGAGATCTTTACGAATAGCATCATTAGTGGTAGAAATATGTTCATAGAACTCATCCATGCTTTGTGTTGGTCTATCTGCCCAATGTTTTACAGTAGGAAGAGTTGAGGGCGTGTAAGTAGGAACAGTGAATTGTCTCTTGAATCCAGACATAGAAGAAGAGCTGTCTGTATAGCTACTACTAGTATTATGGGATAGAGTTTCTACTTGTTCATTAATCACATTTTCACAATATTCCTCCACATGCTGTTCTTCAGTCTCATCTTCAGAATCACTTTCAGAATCTGTTGTCCGCCGTAAGTTCTCTAGCATGTCACGAAAGAATCCTACTGCTCTTTGAATTTTAGGTTTAACAACAGTGTCTGCATCACTACCGTATTCACTTGACGAAGAATACCACGAGCTGTCTGTGGAATGATGCGTAGTTGTGGAATAACTTAAAACCGAAAGAAAATTTGATGGTTTACGAATTAAGCTCCACCATCTCCTTCTCTCAGTCGCAGGTGGCTGACCATCAACAGGTGGATCAGCATTGGAGGAGTTACTGTACCATGAGGAGGATTTTGAAGCAGAACTGGGCTGCTTTTTTTGGAATATGGACTTGATTAACTTGGTGTCTTTTTGCGATGCTCCTCCTTCATTTTTCCTGCGATCTTCTCCCATTTCCAGCCCCTAATACAGAAATGCAAAAGGAGAAATGAGCACTTATGTTTTGAAATTATTTCTTTGAATGACAGAGAAAAAGATGAAGAAAATGGACTGACATGCACTGAAAATAGCTGGAGGAAGAAAAAAGCAGGCTGCTGGAGGAGGAACATCGTGCAATATACACCACTGAGAATTATAAAACACTAAAGCTATCAAATACAAAAAATAATAAATAGATGGGAAAATAAATGAAAACAACAAATAAAAGAGAAAATATAATTTATTTGGAATTATGAATACAATTTTAGTAATTCATAGTTACGATTAGATATATAAAAGCACTGAACGAGGCATTAGAATTTAGTCCTGCAGAAGGTAAAAACCAATTCACTTCAGTCCAATTCCAAGTTTAAGCTTCATGCCAGCGAATGCACAAACTGGTTTGGTCTATTCCAAAAGATTTGTTAAAAGATTGTTTCTTGATTTTTCAGCTTCGTTTCGATACCTTTAGCTTTTGCAGATGTTTCACGAGAAGGCTCTTAGTACAATCTGAGCAGAAGAGTTAAAATGTTACTATTGTTCAAAACCCACATCCTTCCCAAATGAATTAGGATTGTAGTACATGATAGATACATGAGGACAATTGTGCAAACTAATTGTACAAAGGAACAGGCGTGCAAAAACTAAAAATAACTGGTATCTATTCTAAGAGATAGGAATCTATTGCTTCAACTACAAGCTCCCATTCTTCAAAAATGACCCAAATTCCATTGAAGAATTTTTCCATCAAGATCAGGATGCGTATACTCAAAAAGATCTCAGCTCTAGGATATCCTACGGTGTTAATTTAACATTGTATCTGGGAAGTCCTAGCGCCAAGATTGTTTCTAGAATACATGGCCAGGTGCATTATACACAAGATCTTCCAGTGGTGTACAATTCCGCGACAAAAATGTGTTCTGAAAATTATGCATTGGAAGAGTTCGTAAAAAAATCCTAAGGATTCTAGAAAGTGACAACTGTCTTGTGCTTTAAAGATTTATAACAAAAAATATTAGAAATATTGGATGGTGAAGTCATTCCAAAGTTGTTGTGTGGCCATAAACAAATTTTTTTTTTTAGTGAAAGTGTTTCATTCACAGCAGAAGTGTAATTGAATTAGAGGAAAAAATAGAAAAACCATAAACAAAGTGACAGAACTCTGGCAAATGTAAATTGTAAAACTGGAGTTTTTATATAGAAACGTTATTTCATCTCACGCTGTGCTCTTATCAGTTTCAGTGAAAAACAAACATCAGTTCAATAAAACAGCAAATTGCTTTCAGTTTACGTTAACATGTGATCACATGACCAGTACTCTTCTTATCTTTTAAATTAGAGAGTATTTGAGGAATTAGTTTTCTGAAGTGAAGATTAAACTGAATGTTGTAAACGTATTTTCTAAATAAATATTGAAAACTGCAAATTGAATGGCAGCTTTGTTTCTCTTGCAGGAATCTTTATTGATTATAATTCTTTCCTGTCAAAGACGTGTTTTGACCTGAAAACTTTAAGTACAGAACAATTTTCATTTCAAGAAATTTTAATAATTCCACTCTTTTTATAATGGAATTTCATATTTCGATATCAGATTTGTTTGAAATTGAATTCATTAGATTAGCCATTTTGTAGTTAATACAAATTTTTTAAAGTTCTCCATTAGATTTTGGAAGTTATGTTGATTACTTCTACTTTAATAGGATATTTTTATTTTCATATTTGCTTAAAAATTTAAAAGGATACTACCTCTTAATGTCTCGAACTTGGTCAACAAGTGTATATATTCACCAGTTGGACTTACCAGGTGTCATGACTAAAGAATAGAATCTTCATATAGAACACGCTGCTAGGTATGTTTCAAATTTACTTAGTTAAATGAATTATTACTTAGTTTTATAGATTTATTGGATTATAGAAGGATTCTGTTGTATAGTTTTAACACCAGGTAAGTTCACTGATAAACAAAGACTCAATTTAATCAAGTTTACAAATTTCATATTTTTGGGCATGCTAAGAGGTAGTATACCTTTAATACTTTAAATACTGCCAAAATCAGATTTAAGTGCTAATGTGGGATGACTTCTTTAAGATGATTTAAACAAACAAGTAATCTGATTGGTCTAAATTGCTAAATATAATTGAAATCTGTAAGAAGCCTTTCAAAAGTCATTAATTTTATTTCTGAACATTGTATTTACAATAATATCTATTCCATATAAAAATAAATTGCCTTTGAAATTTCTTAATTTCCACTACAGCAATTTCTAGCATCAACATCAAAATAAATAGGAAACTCAATTAAGAAGTTCAGACTTTTTGGCTATCAACACAGAGTTTATAATCGAATTATTGGTGTGAAATTATTGAGGCTTCTTTCACTAAAATAAAGATCAAACCACAAATGCCACAATCAGAAAGAAACCAATTTCCTTCAGGCTTTGAACACGCAAGTTGTAACATTCATACAATCACTTGACAGTAAGATACGTGAAGTGTCATGTCTATGGTCTGCCTTAACATGATTCCAGACATTGTGCATTTTCAATCTAGACAACAAATGTCCGAACAAGTACTAAAGTACTAAATTCATCATCGCTCTAGGTGATAACTTTCGCCTGTGAACCAGGCTTAAAGGTTACGCTAATTTCAAAGAAAACATTTTTCAACGATTTAACTACAAACATTTTCTTGATGATTTAGTAAAAGTATTGATTTTTGAGAGTTAAGACATCTTTGATTCATTATGTGTCTGATTACATCGAAAAGAAACGACTTCAAAACAAGTACATAAAATAAATTTGATTATATAACCTACATTTATACAATGTTAAAGAGAGAACACAAGCCAAGAAATCTTTTTCAAGGATAACCTGTTCAAATTTTTAGGTCAAGATTGTCCTTGGTCAAACTTTTGACATTGATCTTTCCAAGAATATTTGTAGAGCTGGGTCAACTGGAATGATCATACTCCCACTTTAACCAGAATTAGAACACATGACCATCATTTTCTGCTGAACCAAGCAACTGATGTCAAAGGTCATTTTGTTTTATGTTTTTAGACAATTTTTTTTCTAACATGGGTCTATTTGAGCTAGGGAGAAAAATTTTTTCCATGGAAACAAATTTTAATCCACAACAAAAATCTTTAATATTTAACTCATCAGTTTTCAATGTCTTTGTCGATGATTGGAAAAAACACAATATGATTTTATACTTACAATTTTATAAAACTTACTTTTAAATGTTTAAAATGTTAAACAATACAACTTAAAGGAATAAAGATAAATTTTAATACTTAACAAAAATGTCTCCATGGAGACAATAAATTTATTTGTTGCTTTAGCTCTGCAATTTACTCAGTTCAGTAAATTATATGGAATTATGTTAAAAAGCACATGATTGTTATTCTGAAGAATTTTGTGTCTTAGTCATCTATTATTAAAGGAATTCCAAACAGACTTAAAAATTAAATTCAAGTGAATATGTAGAAGTTGAAATAACATCATAGATCTCTTATTTCATGAGGAAATATAATACTTTTCTACTTATATAGATATTTGACTATCACAGTAAGCAATGAGGGAAATTTAATCTGCATTTAGAGATATAAAACAGTGAAATACTTAGTAATAAAATTCTGTACAATTTCATCCATCAAAATCTTGTTTGAAGAACAGCAAAATGGAGAGTAAAAGTTGTATAGAAGTGGATTCATCCAAAGAGAAGTACTATCAGGTGTTTTGAAAAGAGTAAGCATGGTCTGTTTTGAGAACGAAATGTTATCTTAAATTGAAAGTGATTAAGCAACCTTAATCCATAAAACTAAAATCATTTATAGAAATTCTATTATCACCAAAACAAAACAAATTTATCATTTCTAATGACACAAAAAGCTGAAGCATAAGATCAATTTGTTATTTAATTCCAAACACACTTTCTAAAGGGAAGCTATTTTGGTAAGGGCTGTAACTACAAAAAAGGAGAGATTCTGGGAAGCAAGACTAGATTTTGGAATGGCACTACATAAGCATGAAATTTGTACCCTTTGTCTGCGAGTCATATGACCTCTGAAACTGGCTTGAATTTTCAGAGCTGCTTTATCAAGGTCAGGGTCATTTAAGTCTATATCGGCAAGCTCGTCTTCTGTATCCTTAGCCTTCTAAATTAATTACACAATCACATTCATTACTTTTAAATAAAAAAAAAATGGTGCAGACGTAGAAATGGCAAAGTTGACATGCAAATGAAAAAATGGTGCTGTATATGTGTAAAAGAACTTAAGGATGCATATGAATTAATGAATCCATGCTTTTGCAGCTTACATGCAAAAATATTTGCGAATTGGAATTGCATCAACTGATTTTACTCAAATATATTAGATATGTTGTTACTCAGAGTTTCACGCTATGCGATCTGCAGACAACCGACGTCCCTACTGAAGTTGGACAAGTATAAATAACTCTCGTGCCTTCACTTTGCGGCAAGTTTGGAATGTTTATTCAAATATATTAAGCAGTGAGCATACTCTTGTTGAAACCTTGTTGAAAATGCCTTAGCAGACTTCACTGTGTCAAAACATGTTTTATGAGAATACCTTTGTATTCTCCTTATACCCAAACTATTTTTCAAGAGGGTTTTACTCTCCTTAATCATGATGTAATGAAAGGAGTCTAGTATTTGGCTTTGTATATGCATCAGGGACACTTTTCACTTTGATCTATGACGTCTGTGATTCCAGAGAAAAAATTTGACCAAATAATCAGATCACAATTGTAAAGACAACATAAGTCAAATGGTGTTTATGGAAACTATGTTTTTCTGGGACTGCAGGAGCTATAAATATTAGACATCAGTTTGGAATGGTGAAATAGTAAGAGAGATGTGTCCCTGATGCAACTGTTAAGGCATTGTAAAGGGGTTCTCTAAACTTTGTATGTGTTTCTGAGACACTATAGCATCAATTTGAACCATTCCAATTTTCATTCCGATGTGGTTCTTGCAATTCCACTAAAGCGAACACGTCACTAGAGGGTAACTGCATAGATATCAAAAGTAGTTTCTGGTAGCTTCACGTCATAAAACACGTTAGTTTTAGTGGAATTGCAAGAACCACAGATGTTGGAATGAAAATTGGATCCGATACACATAAAAATTTAGAAAACCTCTTTACAATCCCTTTTAGGCTAATGGAAATTTGATCTGTATTTCTTTTTGGTCTATTGAGTTTGAACATAAGCTTACCTCTGCTTATAAAAATCTTAAGGTGCCCTTACACCATAGCGATTCCAGTTGCATATGGTTACAAAGTGATCTCAGTTGCATTAGAGTTGGGTTCGAAACTTGTGATCACTATTTTATTTGCAACCATCTGCAACTGGTGATGGCTACAGTCTGAGAGCACCTTAAGATACATTTTTTTTTTTATTCTACTTCTACTAGTATACTAACCTTCAAACTATTATACTCAAGCCTTGACTTGTGACCTCTGAACCCTGCCTGGATTCTAACGGCAGCTTTATTCACTTCCGGGTCGGCAAGGTCAATATCAATCTCTTCCTCCTCTTCCACTTTCTAACCAATCAAATAACAGAACACAATTGTTAGTAGGAACAAACATGTTATTTTTAAAACAAAACAATTCCAGTTTTCAAGTACATTTGATATTCTAATTGATGGCTTCTTGAAATTTCTGAAAAAATTCCCTAAAATTTGAGATGAAAATGGTATGTTACCATGATCTCCTTACAACATGTAATTTTACACATTTACAGAACTTTTTGTTCCTCATTCCAATGGCATTATCAGCCAATCAAATGCCAGAACTCTATGAAAGTTTTTTGTAAATGTTGTGCTAAAATTGCACTTATTGTGTATATCTACTGGCACTAGATATTTTTACATGGCAATGAATTTTTATTCCAAGATAAAGAAATTTCCAAGATTTAGAATTTCCCGAGATTTTGAATTTCTAAGAATTGCATGCAAAAATCTAAATTTGACAGACAAGCTCTGTGTTATTATTATTTAGTGCAAGTTGTCATATATATATGATACCGTTCAACTTCCAAATCAAATGTCAGTAAGAATTTTAGAAACAAATAGATTTCGAAAAGTTTTTAAAAATGTCAATATTTGTAGAAAAAAGTAAAAGTCAAGCGTTTAAAAAGACAAAATGTCACCATGTTGAAAACTGAAATGGTTGATATTTAAAGGTGTAGAAGAGTTAATATTAAAGGTTAAAACATAAATCATTAATGATAAAAGTAACAAAAAGAAGGGGTCACCTTTCAATCAACTGACACTCTAACTATCAACATTAAAATATAACCATAGACATTAAAACATAAGCTAACCTTGAACAATAAAAAGTAACCATGAACATTAAAATGTAACGGTCAACATTATAACATAAACATCAACATTAAAACATAACCATTAACATCAACATTAAAACATAACCATTAACATCAACATTAAAACATAACCATCAACATTATAACATAACCTAACCATCAACATTTAAACATTAGAATATCACCATCAACATTAAAATGTAACCATCATTATTAAAATATAACCATCATAAAATATAACCATCAACATCATAACATAACCTAACAACAAACTTTAAAACATAACCTAACCATCAACATTTTGATATAACCATCAACATTTTAGATATAACCATCAACATTTAGATATAACCATCAACATTTAGATATAACCATCAACATTTTAGATATAACCATCAACATTTTAGATATAACCAGCAACAAATAAACAATTACCTTGGACATTATTCTTTATATAAATTATTCAAAAAATTCTTCTTCTTCCCTGTACTTCATCAAAATTTTGATATCTTCTTTGTCCCTATTCTTTTACAAATTTGAAAAATCTTCCTTCCCTTTCACTGGTTCTGTTCAATTGTTTATTTTTCTTTTTAAAACTTTAAAGTAGCTGAATCAAGCTGTCTGTTTTCTGGTATCTTTTAATTTGTCACAGCATCAGCAAGTCATAAATAAGGAAGACCTATTTTTTCAGTAAATTTGTGTTTCAAATCACTTTATAGAAATGAATAAGCCAAACAATAGATAGATTTGTTTAATGCCAGTCAATAAGCATTTCATTTAAAGGCTTTTATGGCACATGGGACAACCAGACTGAACAATCTCCTGGGATTAAATCCTTGACTTGAAGGGTAGTGAATAAGAACCTTGAGAGAACTCTTGAATCTACTATTACACTACTATTATTGAAACACAATCCTAAGAAATTTAATTCTAATTAAAAAAACAGATAAATACCCACAATACAATTTGATTTTAGAATTAAAAATAAATAAAGAATTTTAACACTCAAATCAAAACATTTGAACCAATCAAATAAAGCAAATCTATTGTTTCTTTTTGAGTTTAAATTTAGCCTGGATTTTTAAGGTAGCCGCTTGTACGTCTGGATCTTCTAGATCAATGTCTACCTCTTCCTCTTCTGCAGCTTTAGATGCAGGTTCAGGTTTAGATTCAGGTTCAGATTCAGGTTTAGATTCAGGTTCAGGTTTAGATTCAGGTTCAGGTTTAGATACATGTTCAGGTTCAGATGCAATTTCAGGTTTAGACACAGATTCATGTTTGAATTCCAAATTTTGGAAACTTCTTAACTCCTAAGAAATGAAAGCTTAAGATAGCTAAATGGTTAAATGTAAGGTACCGGTACCAAGAAACCAAATTATCATCATTTGGTTCTTCACATATAACAAGTAGCCCAGAGCGTGTGATCATGTAACCAAGAAAATTTTGACACTTTAACAAATGAATATAAACTAAATTACTCAGAATAGGAAATAAAAAATATAGTCCCTATAACCATAGCTTTTGAAAATGGTATTTCCACATTTTTAACACCAAAACTCAAAGATCAAAAGAGACAATAGCATCTAAGAAGGAAAATCTGGATAACAAGAATCTGACAAAATAGTGACATTAAAGATGGGTTTCCTTATTCTATTTTAAAATTAAGCAAACTATATGATTAATTGGTGTTTCTAATGAATTATCATGTATTCTTAATCATATCATTATGTTCTTATTGCATATAATTAAGAGTTTTAACTTGTCATAAATGTCCATAGATGTACAGTCTGGATAAGCAAAAAAAGACTTTTTACTTTTTGACCTTTCTTGATCGGTCCGTCATTGGAATTCTGCTGATAATTCTCTTCTAATTTAGCCAATTATGGACATGTAAGGCAAACTGGTATTTTTCCAAGTCATTAGAACACCTCTATATATTCTGTTCATATAAGTATAAGCATTTTCATTTTCCTAAATGAAAATAAGGGAACCCATCTTTAACAGAGATTGAAAGGGGCTGCAAGGACCGAGAACCCTGTAAGATAGACTGACTATAAAAGAAATGAAAAGAACTCATTCACACTCCAACATTCCAGGGACTTATGGCATTGATTAGAGATGACAATTAGTAAATATGGCTGATTACTCATTATTTCAGAATTTTGATGTTTCTACTCAAATAATCAATGTAATTAGACGCCATTTTCTTATCAATAGACCAAATTAGATCAATTAACATGAAGGAGTGACAGAAAATCAAAGTCTTCCTTCGACACAAACATTCCACTAATTCATGACGTTCGGGGAGGTTAAGTTGTCTGACAACCTAATGATTGACCATAATATTTTAGAAAAAGAGCCAATTTTGGTCAAAAGGTTTAGTTTTTATAAAAATCCAATCAATTCTCATTTTCAGGTAATTATAAATTGAATAAGAATTAACTTTTGGAAACTAAAAGCAACTTATACTCCAAATTTAGCAAGACTGAACTATTGAACATCGATATTCTAAAATATTGGGTGGTTATGGGTGCTCAAAACTGATTGTTAATGAAAATATCATACCTTAGATTGTGTGTCCTTGACTTCTTTCCTAGCTTTGAAACCCTTGAATCCTGCCTGGATTTTAACAGCTGCCTTCTCCACTTCAGGATCATCCAAATCAATATCAATCTCTTCTTCACCAGCAGCTTCACCAGCAGCTAATCTGGCTTCAATTTCTTTCTGTCTCCTCTCATACTCTTCAGGATCTCTGTTGAAA